TTGTCCCTATTTAACCCAGCACTGGGTTGTATTTAACCCAGCATTTTTTAGAGTGTACGTTTTTTCACTTTCTCAAAAAGTAGAGATTGTGTTCTGGTCATAAATTGAACTTGGCCAAATGATGGACTTCAGCCAAAGGAACAATTTATTGCTCAGATTTTTCTTACAGATCTGTACTGAAAATATTTGTGTAGATCATTTGGTCTTGGAAGAATTTGATCAAAAAAAATTATATTTGAGTTTGTACTGAGATCTGATTTTTCAAGTGCACACTTTGGTGTTACATTGAGAAAAACATTGAGATTGATCTCACAAGGTTACTTTATAACTGTTGTTTTGGCAATGAAATAAGTTTAGGTTGAAGCACTAAAATAACTGGAAATAAATCAAAACTACAACTGAACTAAACTAAAACTGAAATAAAAGTAAATTAAACCTAAACAATAACATAAAAAAAATGACAAAGTAAAATAAAATGAAAACTTAATAATAAAAATAAAGCTAATTCAAAATAATAATAAAACTATAACAGTCTATAGAAAAATCTGACTCATAAATCTCCATTTAACCTCGATTTAATCGCAATGCTTTGGAAACCTGAAATAAGTTTAGGTCGAAGCACTATAATGACTAGCTAGAATTAAAACATAAATCAGAACTAAAACTAAAACTGAACTAAAAGTAAATGAATCCTAAATAGTAATATTAAAAAACTAATACAAATGACAAAAGCACAAAAAGAATGTAACACAAAAAAATTACTACAACAATATAAAATATATAAAAAAAGATATTTCAAAAATAAATAAATAAAACTAGAATAGCATATAAATAATACTACAATAACACTGGTAAGTCATAAGTCTCATTTGTCCTTGATTTAATCTCAATGCCAAGGCAATTTTCTAAAATGCATTTATGTTGAAATACTAAGCTGACTAGATAGAATTAAATAAAACATAAAAAACTCACAACTAAAACTAACAACAAAAGCACATTATTAGAAATTATATTATATTATGACATTATTAGACTAAAATTAAAATAACTGAAAATATACAAATAAAAGCACATTTAAAATATGAATACACTTATAATAGTACATAAATATAATACAGAAATAACATTAATTGTCAGGAGAAAAATCTGACACATAGGTCTTGGTTTGACCTGATAGAAAGATATGAAGAGAGGTATCTCGTTATCTTGTTTTTAACTCACATTCTGAAAGCAGCTACGGACACTGGGCTCCATGTTCCTCCCTCCGAACGCTGCGGCCTCCCCGAGCTGGTGTGGGATTTGGATGCTGTTGTGTAGCAGTAACGCCAGCTGCCTCTGGTTACAGACGCCTGCAGCACCAGCCACCTGAGCGAACAGATCTGTGGAGGACAGCAGGAGCGAAACTCAAAGAACATCACATGATGAGACCAGGAGGGTGAGTGGCTAAGATTTTAGACTTAAGATCCAATTTATAAATGTCCTTGTAGGAGCTACAGCAAGGACGGTGTTGCATTCAATTCTCTGTAGGTCTGAGACACTGAGATCAAAGTTTGCACAGACATAAAAGTGAAAGAAAGAAGCCAGTGTTTCACAGCATAACTTAATACATTTATAAATTGAGAGCAGGATAGAATATTTTATGCCACATATATTCAATTTCAAAGTGGGAAATGTTCTGTTGTGCATGAAGGATTACAGTGGCAGAGACAGGAGTGTTTAGGCATTTAGGCTTAGAAAATTCTGAAAAAAAATCTAACAAAAATATTAATGCACCTACACACACAAACACACAAAATAAAGAAGATATATAAAATAAAATATCTAATATTATATAATAATATATATAATTTAGATAGCTATTTATATTATAAAATGTAATCAATTATAGTTATTAAATTATA